TCAAACGTTACACCCAGATAAACGAGAGCTTCCAAGATTTATATATATATATGTGTACACACACATATATATCGAACGTTTTACGTTCATTCATCATTTGACGAGTACAACAACGTGATATTTTAAATTATCTCATCAAATGTGAACCGACGCATGTACACAATTGCGTCATAAAAAAAAAAAGAAATTGCGCCACAACCCTTACGAAAAAGAACTACTGCCGATTACATATAAATAAAGTCAGTAATATAAATATTACTGACAATCACATAAGAATATTATTAGATATTACAGGAATCACTTGAGAATATTACTGGCAATTACACAAAATGCCAGTAATTTTTTCGTACCACTGCCGCAATATATTACTGCCAGTAGTTCTTTTTCGTAAGGGAACACCGAAAAAATTATATTCTTATAAGTAGAAGATTTTATACCTAAAAAATCTTCTTAAAGATTTTAGATGATATTCTTCTGAAATTAAAAATATATTCTTTATTTAAGAATATATTCTTAATTTAAGAATATAGTCTTTTTCGCGCGCGATAGTGAGATATATATGGTTTTCTATAGAGGCTTTTTATATTCTAATCAGTATATATTCTTATCAATATTACTATTTAGAGGATTTTCCTCTTAAAATAAGAAACTCTTCTTGGCGCCTATTTTAGTATAAAATATACTTAAAGTAAGTGGGATATCCTCACAAAACAAGAATACAATTTTTTCGGTGAACGCATTCTATTTTCTAAAGAAAGTTTCGGTCTTCGGATCAGATATTTTTGCAAGCGGAATGTTCGCGCAAATGTTCAATTTACGTATTCTTAGTTACGTATTCTGAGTAACTGAGTAACCGCGTGAGTAAAACGAGAGTGCCACTTACCAATCAGCGTCAAGTTGGTAGACGGAGAGGCGATCGTATAAAATTCTTTAACAAATGCGGCTGCTTTTACCGTGGCAATTTATATGTAAACATATATATATATATATAACACGTATATATAAGCACGTGTCGTTTATCGTGTCGTTGTGAAAGAAACTCAATATAATCTGAAAGCTGTCGGACGGGATGTTATTTCTCGTTGTGACTGTACGCCCGTATTGATGATGATGGTAACGTGTTACGTTCGTGTACATTCGACCGAAGAAACATGTGTAATTTTAACGTGAACTGAACGCAAGGGTATACCCGTAATTGCAGTGATCTAACACACAGGCTGCGAGAGATGACCGCGCGAGAGCCAATCCGTCTCTGGGTGGTCGAAGAGTTTATGACGAATAAGTCGAGTTTCCGATTGGCCGTTTTTATATCCGCGACCGTCACTCGAAAAAGAATCGTATAAAAGCGAGTAATGTGATCGCCGTTGTGTGTCAACTAGGTAGATTGCTACTTTACGCGTTATCTGTTCAGCATCCACGATTAGCTGCTTTGAATTTTCTTCGTTTTACGCCTCGCACAGGAGGACGGGGTAAGATCATACGTTGATTTGGAGAATCAACTTACGTAAATTCTCGGAAGCTAATAATAGAGAATAAGAAATAGAGATAAGAAAGACGAAAAAACTCATAAAAATTGTATGATTGTGGTAACTAATTTTTTTTTTGACACATGCTTAACGACTTATTTATCCAAATCTGTACCTTTAGACTCTAACCCAAGGAGAATAACAATCGCAATGAGGACATAAGCTTCTGTTTTTAGCGAGAAAGACAAAGTGTTCGCTTATTGTATTGTTGGCGCAACAAAAAATCGAGACGGAAAATCTCCCGTTTTTAACCGCTTCCCGAATTTCTCGGACGTCATCATATAATGATGACGTGTCATTCTTCGTCTGCATCCTAGCCAGGGTGCAGGGCCGAACGCGTGCAGAGACACGTTGAAAGAAAAAAAGATTGAAACCTTGAAACCTGTCTGGCCGCGTGGGTGTTGTGTAGAGTGACGCATCAAAGGAACGGCCGAGGCCCTTTATGTCCGCAGATTCTTAAGGTGTGTTACACGAGAGAGAGAGATTTCTTATTCCTCGCACATTGGGAGTATGTATCCTTGAGGTTTGAAATTCTGACGTGGCCAGAAACATGGGAGTGCTGCAATTGCGAAATCAAAAAAAATCTCGCGTTCTTTAAAGTGAACTATTAATAACACCGGTAATAACAAACGACTCTTATATATTAAAACCGCGATTGTGTTGCGAGTATTTGCGGATCGTACACACAAACTCTCAATTTTAACCGTTCGATCGAACGGTGGAGAAGCGAAGAAGCGACGAATCACTCTAGAATCTAGGAATTTTGCTTAAAAGTAGGTCGGCAGTAAATTATCGCGAGTCTCCGAACCGAATGCTTCCTGGAATAAATATACCACTTGGTTTCTCGATCTTCTTCGAGATATCGAGAGCAAAGCGGGAAATCTAAGTTTATTTTTTTTTTTCAGGGTTCACAGTTACAAGAGAGGGACTTGTCTCATATCGTTACATCATCCGTCGTCGGCATCATTTTCTGTACACACATTTAAACACTCGACATTCCGGTCACGTGTAGCTTCCTCGTGTATTATTACACCGCGATACGCGCATGTGGAACGAAAGGAACCACAGCTGTGCTACATCATATATATATATAAAATATTCGGAGAAATTTACATTTAATTGCGGAATTTCTTCGAGCACCTCTTCTCAGAACTTTGCGATCGCGTCGTAAAAATGTTTTTTATTTTTTTTTTTTTTTGTAAACGATGACGTTGTTCGCGTGTCTATTAGTGTACAATTTTCGTGGTTTTCGGTGAGAATTTTGATGAGTTTAAACATTTGTTTCTCACCTGTTTGGATTTTTTTCGTATTTTTTTATTGTGTTGTGTTTGAATAGAGTTCTTTTTCGCAACGATTTTTTTAGAAAAAAAAAAAAATAGTCCAAAAATAGTCTCGTAAATATTCAAATACGGTAATTGTTTGTCAATACCGTATTTAATGTTTGCGCTATCTTTTCTATGTCTGACTGGAGAATGTGTTGAACACTTACGTGCGTCGCACGTAGAGAAGGAAGTTTCGCGCTCGCCCACTCGAAACCATTGTCACATCCGAGTGTACTCATGGACGCCCAAAAATACACGAGTAGACATATAGTATATATACACATATACACGTACGCGGGATTACGTACACTTAGAAAAGTTCAGTCGCGCTCTAAACTCTTACACTTTCAAAATATTTCTTTTTCGTAACAGCGACACACTTACGAATCCACATCTTAGTGCAATCTAGCAATTATTGGCGAATATATATAATCACAAACGGTTGTGTTATTTAATATTTTTATTTTCTATATGCACGCGCGAGAATATTTTCAATATTTTTACGAACATGAAGATGGCGTGAAATAATACACCGAAAAAATTGTATTCTTGTTTTGAGGATGTCCCACTTACTTTAAGTATATTTTATACTAAAATAGGCGCCAAGAAGAGTTTCTTATTTTAAGAGGAAAATCCTCTAAATAGTAATATTGATAAGAATATGTACTGATTAGAATATAAAAAGCCTC